GCAAATTTTTATATTTTTTCTCACATTGTTATTGTTATTGATTTTATAATTATTGTATCCAAGTGCTTCAGCTGAATTTCAACCAATAAATGAATTATATTTCAATGCTAAACATTGTTTTCTCTGTAATTATCATCATACAGAAACAAACTGTTGAAAATTGTTTTTTCAATACAGCTGCATGCTATAAATGCCGAAAGAAATAATACATTGTTAAATGAACCAGCCAACTATTGTTCTTTATAATCACGTGTCTTCCTTTTTCTTTACCATCCTTGACTTTTGTTAAATAATGTTTTCATGAAAGGATTTCCCTGTTCATAAATATATATGCATATTTGTGCAAAACAATTTACATTATTAATTCAAAAAGCGAATTATATAAATAATTAGTTTTCACTTCCCGGTTCTAGTTCTACAAAAATAAATTTGTATGTTCTAAATACGTTACAAACAAACTAAAAATCTAATATGAAATGGAGCCGGTTTCGTGACCTTAAGGTCATTCCTTAGTCGTAATAACATGATATTTAAATATATTTTATACTTAGAAAAACCTTTCGGATATACCATAAACAAAACAAGTTAAAGTTTCGGTGCATATACATTGCTCACAGAGTAACTGTTTAGACTAGTAAGGCAGCCGCAGGGAAGACAGAATAGCATATTGTATAGGACAGCCATTAAGAAACAGTTCTGGTCGACTCAAAGCATTGAGCCCCACCCCCCTCCCCAGTGGCACAGCGGTATGTTTGCGGACTTACAACGCTAGAAACCGGGTTTCGATACCCGTGGTGGGCAGAGCGCAGATAGCCCATTGTGCAGCTTTGTACAACTTCAAACAAACAAAGCATTGATCAAATCAAATTCCTAGAAATCCTCACAGTATCATTTAATTGTATAGTATTTCTTTTCACTGCCGCTTTCTTTCTAATTCTAATAAGCTATATCTCAGTTAAAAAAACACAAATCCATCGTCTTAAACTCTTTATACATTTCACCTTCGTGAAAATAGCCCGGCATGGCCAGGTGGTTAGGGCGCTCGACTGGCAATCTGCGGGTCGCGGGTTCGAATCCCCGTCCCACCAAACATGCTCGCCCTTTCAGCCGTGGGGGCGTTATAATGTGCGGTCAATTCCACTATTCGTTGGTAAAAAAGTAGCTCAAGAGTTGGCGGTGGGTGGTGATGACTAGCTGCCTTCCCTCTAGTCTTATACTGCTAAATTAGGGATGGCTAGCGCAGATAGCCCTCGTGTAGCTTTGCGCGAAATTTTAAACAAACAAACAATCAGCTTTGTCAGCTCATCTTATAATTCTTCGTATAATTACAATGTCCTTAAATAAAAAAAAGCTTATTCGTGAGTTTAACTTCAAAAATAAACTATTTCGAAAAGTTAAAATGCGATATTATTTAGTTCAATAATTATTCTCCAACTAAATGAACAGGGAAGTTGAAATCACACTATGTTTTAAAAGCACAGTATGTTCACAGTTGAGAGTTAATTTATCAGTTTCAGCAGTGGTTGCAGTGTATGGATCATGAGTATTTTTCAAATCCAGAGATTCAGAGTTACGGTCTAACTGAATCAACTTGCCCCCCCCCCCAGTGGCACAGTGGTATGTCTGCGGATTTACAACGCAAGAAACCGGGTTTCGATACCCGTGGTGGGCAGAGCACAGATAGCCCATTGTGTAGCTTTATGCTTAACTACAAACAAACAAACATAGATAGAATCAACTTGTCAGAAATGGTGAATTTCGGCACACAAAAAATACATCATGCCATGATTAGAGCTCCCCTGGCATTGATAAGGTCTCTGTTTATATGGATCATGCTTATAATCTGCTGGCAGACAGTGTTATGAGCTACTGCAACAGAAACCCTGTATTAGATTAAGACGTTGGCGCCAAAGAAAGTCCCAGAGGATCATAACCTTTACGGTAGTCCATCACAATCCGGTATTATTCTGCATTAAGACAAACTCTGACCTGCTTGCATCCAAGAAAGATTGTACTACTGGGTCTAATACCACGTCAGTATATATCAAGCAGTAGGTCTGCTCCTCGAAAGCACGATAACATCTATACGCCTATAAATACTGATGCAATCTCACGCCATAAATGAACCGCCACCAAAACGACCACATTCAACGATATGGCGTTGCGCATATTGTTCACTTTTGTCTCTCCAGACAGAACTTCATTGATATCGACAAAAGACATGAAGACTGTCTCATCTGTGAAATGTAAAGGCGCCCAATGGCGTTGCTGATAATTCTAATTATTTTGAGAAAGGCCCAACGAAATATGCAGTGCTGCGTTGTCCAGTGCAGGAATAAAGGAGGTATTCTCGACCTCATTGTAGGACGCTTTGTACAGATTCGTCACAACGATTATACCAAAACGAGCTACTACCATTTGTCTAGCCGCCAATACTTATACTGAATGTCTGTATGTCCAAAGGTTCTGCTTCCCAAAGCAGGTAACATTATCACATAATTAAACGGAATAAATAGATAAAACTGTTGAAATCAGCCTAACTGCAAATATTCATATCTGAAGGGAAGATGTAAAACTGTTTTTCCAGAGCAGATATCACGAGAAAAATTGCACTGAAACAATCCTGCATTCTCAACAGGTGTTGTTTTAAAATCCTGTTAGTTGTTTGTCTGTTCACTTTTCTGGTGTAATGAAATGTATATGGTCAACATATCAGAGTGATTTAAAGTGGTGGACCAGTTCTAGAAATGTCTAAACTATTATTCATAGATAATTAAAATTTTAATGCATATATGATAAAAAAATTGCCACCTTATGTCGTGAATTTGATGGTGAGTTTTGAAAAGTAAATAAATTTTGGGACCAGATGTTTTTAATGCAGCTCAAAATATGTGCAATCAAAAAAATAATAAGATTCGGAATTTAGGTACATTTAATCTTTTTTTCAGCTGAGTTTCTAAATGAACTTCAGCTTAATAGAACAGGTTTGCCGTCACCATGACAACAAATATTTGAGGAAGCGCTCGTTCCGTGGATTTCGCGATCAATGAAAATAGAAACAACTACAAAAAGAGTTTTATGTGGAGATACGACAATTACTCTGTTTTATTTCACACTATGAAAACAGTGAGGTGGAAAGGATGTAATCAGGGTTGCCATGTCCGCCTATTTCCCGCGGATTTGGGCATCGTATTTTTTTATTATTATTTTTTTACAATCGCTTTAATATTTGATGCAATTTTTTTTTATTATAGCTTTGTAACAAAATTGAATTGCTTGATGTTAGCTGGTTAAAAGAGTGGCTTGTTTTGTGAACACATAAGGCTTGTTCTTGTTGCGAAATCTGACAACCCTGGATGTAAGGGATTTTGCTGCAGAAGTTTTATACTATCTGATTTTCTTACACACTATATTTTTAGCCTAGTCCTACATAATACGTGAATAGTTAAATCATTCTCAAATCTTAACCTTTATGAACATATTTATCTTTTAAAACCAATATTTAAACTGTCAGTTTTAAAACGTTTTACTTTTTATCCAGTTTTTCAGGTGAAAGTTTCGAAAGTTTCCAATTTGAAATAAACTGGGAATCTAATAAACTATGAAAAAACTGAATATCGAACAAAGAGATTGTCTTATGTGATACAAAACAGAGAATAAAATGATTAATTGAAAAACTATATCTGTGGTATGAAACGAGCTATCCAATATCATATGCCAAATGCCTCAGATTAGCTGTACATAAAATAATTTTTTTCCAGTAACAAGCGATCAAATTGGTATTTATGTTGTTTTTTCTTGGATAAATTCAAGTCAGCAAAATCACCTTTACATTTTCTAATACCTATTAGAGCTAATTTTTGTGTAGTAATATAGTTAACGTGCAAGACTCCTGGCAAGTCTTTAAATTTATTATACCACGCTGTATTAATTGAAAAGGCGAACAATTATAGATGTTCACGCTACTTAGCGTTTGTTAATACATTGAAATAATTTTTCGTTTGGTGAATTTCGTGCAATGTTGCTCGAGGAATATCTGCACTAACCGTCCCCCAACTGAGAATTGATACGCTAATATAATGTTCTCCCGTTGGTGTCATAACTGCTTGACCAGTTCCTAGATTAATAAGACTAACTTATGATTCGCCATTTCTTGTAAATAATGAGTTGGTTAATTCAAAAAATGATAATAATATATAAAGTTAAAATAAATAACAATATGTGCTGTTAAGTCAAATACACGATATAGCTTTAAAACTCCTTGCTCTAATTCTGGTATATGAAGTTTTGAAGCAGCTATTTGTGGGATGGTAGATTATTTCTGTGCAACGTTTCGTCTCTAACAGTGAGACATGATATTGTACATCATTTAAGGCGCAAGTACATTCAAATCAAAAATGTTTATTCAACCAAATAATTAGGTTTATGACACTAATTCCGATGTGTTGTGACATAAAATAAAGTTGAGGGAAAATTACATTTCATCTCTTAATCAATTCACACCGTAATAGCTTATGCCAAGCAGTCTGCTAATATATATATATATATATAAAAGGGTCTCAACTATTGTGTCTGTCGTATCCAATCTAGCCTGAATAGCCTTGGTATTGGGCGAAAAACCTCGTCGCTCTAGAAGTTCTTATTAATAAGGCCATATAATGATCAGTTTACTTTTGGCATATAAAATTGCTACGAAATATAAACAATTGTTAATGTAATATGAAACGTATTTTGGCTCACATTAAATAACACAACTGTCTAAAAACAGTAGTGTCGATGTGTATCAACTTTCATCAACCTAATTAGTTTCACACACTTAAGGTTGTTGTCACTTACAGTTCTTAACTTGTCTGTTTAGTTCATAAATGGTAACTACATAAAAGGGTGCGTGTTATAACTGTTCAGGAAGGGGTGAAAGAGAGAATTATCGTCCACGACTGTATTTTGTGATATGCATTACTTCAGGACTAATGTTAGTATTATATTTCCCCATATTCCAGATACCAGCCACAGGAGCGTCGTTAAATCCGGCTCGTTCGCTAGGCCCAGCTTTTGTAATGAACAAATGGCCTCATCACTGGGTAGGTGTTTTCTTTTATGATGTAGAAGTTAACTCTTCGTCAAGAACTCATGTAAGCAGCAGCCTTATAGCAATATTACGTTCTATAAAACGTGTGGCTCCCGAAATTTTAGCGGTAGTAACAAAAGTACTGTAAAGGTAGGTAATTATATTGGTACGTCTCCGTTTGTTAATTGATTTTCCGTAACTTCGTTCCGACGAAACTTAAGCGACACAAGT